GGCGAACATCGTCAGTGGCATGTGGATTTTTAGGGTGAAGCGGCCGCCAGGTTCTCCGCCTGTCTTCAAGGCTCATTACGTTGCTCGAGGTTTCAGTCAGCGTGAGAGAGTTGACTTCTTCCAGACCTTCTCCCCCACCCCGAAGATGACCCCTCTTCGGGTGCTTCTGCACGTTGCCGCTCAGCGTGACTAAGAGCTTCACTCTCTTGACTTCAGTACAGGTTTCTTGCAGGGCAGCCTGCACGAGGAGATCTGGCTGCGCCGCCCACCTGGCTTCACTGGGTCGTTTCCTCCTGGTATCCAGTGGAGCCTCCGGCGGCCGGTATACGGTCTCCGCCAGGCGCCACGTGAGTGGCACGACACACTGAGGACTACTCTTGCGGCACTTGGGTTCGCGCCTTCTACTGCTGACCCGTCGCTGTTTCTGCGTACCGACACTTCTCTGCCGCCATTCTACATCCTCGTGTACGTTGACGACTTGGTCTTTGCCACTGCGGACACTGAGGCTCTCGCCCTGGTGAAGTCGGAGCTGCAGAAGAGACACACGTGCACAGACGTGGGTGAGCTGCGCAGCTACCTTGGCTTGCAGATCACCCGGGACAGAGCACGCCGCACCATCACACTGACTCAGTCACACATGGTGCAGCAGGTCCTTCAGCGCTTTGGCTTCACCTGGTCCTCCCCACAGCACACTCCTCTGGCTACAAGTCACTCGCTCTCAGCTCCACCTTCGGACGAGTCCGTAGAGCCGAGTGGTCCTTACCCAAAGCTATTGGGCTGCCTCATGTACCTGATGACCTGCAATCGTCCTAGCCTTGCGTACCCTCTTGGTCTTCTCGCTCGCTACGTGGCTCCTGGTAGGCACTAGCCGGAGCACATGGCTGTTGCTAAGAGGGTACTGCGCTACTTGTGCAGTACATCGGGCATGGGGCTCGTGCTTGGAGGGCGGAGCCCAGTTGTCCTCATTGGGCACTCGGACGCTTCTTGGGTTGACGACCTAGCTACACAGCGGTCGTCACAGGGTTACACCTTTAGCCTTGGCTCTGGCTCTGTTTCTTGGCGGTCTACTCGCTCGTCTTTTGTTTCGGCTCCAGTTGTGAGGCTGAGATCGAGACACAGCCATGGTTGCACAGGAGCTACGCTGGCTCACCTACCTGCTGACCGACCTGGGAGAGCGGCCTCGTTCTCCTCCAGTGCTGTACGTAGACAACAAGGCCGCCATTGCCTTGTGTGAGGAGCACAGACTGGAGCACAGAACGAAGCACATCGCTCTGCGTTACTTCCTCGCTCGAGAGTTGCAGCAGCGAGGTCAGCTTCGTCTTGCTCATGTGGCCACTGGGGCCAACACTGCTGATATATTCACCAAGGCACTTCTGTTTGGTGATCATTAGCGTTTCTGTACTTTGTTAGGCCTTGTGCCCACTTTTCCTCACTTGCTGTAGACCTTGTTTGTACTGTGATCTAAATATATACCTGCTTGCTTGCTTTGCTAGGTAGAGATCACAGTGATGCTGTTGTTGCATATATACCTCTGCATGTGAACTGGCCTTGTGGCCCTTTGCTTGTGCTCAGTGTGTGTGGTGACGTTGTGATCCACCCTGAGCTTGCTTTGCTTCTCTTGACTGGTCTTGTCACCCCTTGCTCTGCCCCACTTTGCCTATGGGGGTGTGTCAAACTATGATAATGCTTGTGGTGTGTAGGCTGTAGTGGGGTAGCCCATAAGTGGTACAACCTAAATTAGGGTTAGCATATGTACCCACATCTATGTTCAATGCACTCATTCCTGCTGCTAGATTCCAACAGTATAGTCTTGAACTGATCCGATCCACCGCCAAGTGCGCAATCTCGGACGCGTCGAAATAGAAGCCGCGATCGGCTCGAAGGCCCGAAGCCCTGCGCACCACGCATCCCACGTGCTGTATTGGGCGGTCTCGCAGAATGAACTCCAGGTGACAGCTGGGCCCGTGGGCCCTTCCTCTTGTGACGGTGGCTCGTAGGCGCGTTGCGACGTCACGATGACTCGCCACCAATCCATGGCGGAGCCCCTTGGCAGCGAAACGGCATACCGAATATTCGCTGCGTTCGAATCGACGTTATTCGCGTCGAAGAAGACGTTCATCGTGAAGACCCACGATTGAACCGTCGGACCTCCACGCTGGCTCGGGTCGAAGCAGGGCGGGCGTTGCGGCTTGAGTGGCATTGGTGCCATAATGGCTTGTTCTCCACTTGTCGCCGCGAACTCCACGTGCCGACGGGCTTCGCGAGGCTTCCGCGGGCTTGGTGCGACCCTGTTTCCTCCCATGCCAGGCATCGGCTGGGCGGCGCCATTGCTGGCTGCGCCTTAGCGCTATCCCACGCTGTTGTTTTGTGTTGGTGTGCCGGACGAGATGACGATCGGCTCGTCCGATTGTGCAGATGCATTTGTCGGTGCGTATGGTGGCGCTGGAGTGTTCACCGTTGATTGCTGACGCGCGGAGTCACGTTCCGCCGTGAGCGTCGCAATTTCGAGCGCCGAATCTTCAAGTTGGCGCACCAGACGGTCGAGCTGCTCCTGCGTCAATGTGGCGAGTGTGAATTCGGCCATGGCGGGGGTGTCGGGCGAGCTCAGCGAGAGCCTCGGTCGTGGCCGTGCGTGCTTACGAGAGAGCACTACGAGCGGCGGTGTTGTGTCGCTGAGAGACGTCTACCCCCCCAAAAAATTGAGATAGTGGGGAAGCGAAGGTGTGGGTGCGGTCCGAGAAGAGATCGTAGGCTCTGAATACCAAGCGTTACGAGTGCAATTGAGTGAACGAACGAGAATTGCACTATCGAAGCAAGAGTACAATGAGCAAAGGCATGAGCGAAGAATATATAGCAAAACTACAGTGGTAACGGTAATGGACTGTGGTTGTCGCGCGACGGGCCTGGGACTGAGGTTGGGAAAGTGTCCAAGCGGAGGCCCGGAGCGCGGGTTACCCGCCGAGCCGTGAGGTCGGGGTGTGATGTGCGAAGGTGGCGGGCGGATTTTCGATGCGAGGGTTGCGAGTGGTAACGGTGCTGACTGTGGTGCTACAGTGATGTACGCGTTGAGCAGGGATGCGAAGGAAAAGGAATTTTCCTTACAGAAACGCTTGTATGAGTTTTTCTACATTAAGTTGCACTTACACTGCCTAATACAGCTTTGTAGTACTTTTTTTAGGGGTACAGTGGCGGGAGATTCTTGTGCTGACTTGCCGCGTCCAATCGTGCGCCGTGGCGCACTGAACAGAAATGTGCTGGATTGGCCAGGGGAAGTCTGTGAAATGCCTCTCCACCGCTCTGTGTCTTTTTGCAACCTTGCCAAAGATGATTGATATGGTGGGTGGGTGACATGGGTCAGATGGTGAATCGATTGTTTGATGGGAATGGCATGAGTGGTACTTCCAGCGTTCTCCTTGGGTTCCCGTTCTCTCCATTTTGCTTTCATTCAGGCTTTTTCCTACAATGCAACCTGCAGTCAGTGACATCCAGCACGTGTGATGCCCGTCACTGCTTATTCATTGTTTAGTGCAAGATCACGACACCACTTAAGTGACATTAAACGGTAATTCATCACAGTCAACGGATGGATGCGTCGTTCTTTGGGTGGTGCATCCCCATGTGTTGATCGCGGATTCGCTCAGTCGCGGAGGACTAGTAGCAAGGTGCACGTCCAGCACGAATCTCTTTGGAATATGTCGACCCCGTGGAGACCTCCGTACACTCCTATCACCACGTCATCATTGTTCCACTCGCCTCCTGATCTGATTGTCGATAAGCTCTACTTGGGAAATTTGAATTCAGCTTCCGACAAGTAAGCTGGAACGAGGAACTGATTCGTGGTTTGGCAGGTTCTTCCTGTTTATTCGAAGTCCTCCCCCTTTTTCGTGCGTTTTTGGTCTAAAGCTGGCTGACGTCATCCTTGCAGAGAATTATTGGATGGGCTTGGCATCAAGAGCATTCTGACAATTGCGTCCAACGTAGGCCCTCCTAAGTTCCCTGGCGCATTCAAGTACACCGAGGTTTCGATCATAGACTCGTCTCATGTTAACATAGTTGCACACTTCGAGCTGTGCTTCAAAGCCATTGACGAAGGGATCAAATCAGGCGGCATCCTTGTTCATTGTGTAGCAGGTACGGTACCCATTGTTCTTCAGATGATTTCCTGGCCTGGTTGTTCTGTCCTGGGCTTTAAGCATCTTTTCCCCTCCACTTACCTTCTTCCACTGTCTGCTAAATCATTCATCTCCATGACAAACTATTATTTCACAGGCATGTCCAGAAGTGCAACAGTGGTCATAGCGTACTTGATGGCAAGGAAAGGGCTCAGTTTTCAAGAAGCCTTTGCACACGTCAAGAGGTGCCGACCTATTGCACAACCTAATTATGGCTTCATGAGGCAACTTGAAAAGTTTGAAGCATATCTTCGCTCAGAGAGGGACAGGGCTGTATCCATCAAGGCTTGACACCAGAATTCTTGCCTGATACCCTCTCGCTAGTACAAGACCCACCTCTCCCATATTGCCTTACATGCACTAACCCGCCTATACTAACCTCCCTATACTAACCTCAGAATGCACGCTTGAAGTTTAGGTGTCAGTCAACATGTGGGTACTATTTCTGTGCAGCTAGCTATATAAGGCATTACAGGGCTGTCAAAACAGTGTAATGATCAAGGCACAGTTTTAGTAAGGGCTGTTTGATTGCCCTTTCCATAAGGGAGAATGTACACTGGCTCCAGATGAGCTTCACGTTTTTGCTGAGCACTGAATGTTGAAAAAAAAAACTTTTATTGCAGGTGACCTAGGCTTTCTGCTGAGAGCGAGCATTTACAAGGTAGATAGCAACCAGTGTGACACCAGCGCCAAAGAACTGCAGTGGGGATAGTGTTTCGCCGAGGAATATAAACCTGCAAGAAGAGTGACAGGCAACATACAAGCGATTCGGGCCATGAGATCAACACAGGAACTAAAACGAGACCAAGCACTGAGCATGAAGTGAAACTAGCTGGGAGGAGAAACTTGGGAGACCAGCTGCAGTAATATACCAACCCTGATGGCACATACATACCCGAAGAAAGCAGCAAATGCAGGAGTGAGGAAAGTCAAAGAGCTCAGCCGTGTAAGGTTCCCTGCATTGGAACAAACAAAATACAGATGCAACCGAAAGGGAAGTGAAAATCACAACGACAGCCAACTAGACTGGAATTTGTGAAATGGGAGGAAAAGATCAACCCTGATGTGGCGGTTTGAGGCTGAAACATGATAAGCTGAGTTCAAATGAGTCACACTCTCACCTTTGTTTGCATTGTAAAAGAACACTCCATAGCTGATTGCACTTCCGAAGACTGAAGTGTACATTAAGGAGGTCCAATCAAGCAGGGAAAGGTCAGCAAGGCCACCAGAGACTGCTGGATCGTGCTGCTGGAAGGAAAGATACAGGAGAGGAATGCCTCCCAACACCATGTGCTGTTGCCAGGGCATGGGGAATGGGGTGACGGCGGGTCGAAAGAGAACACAATGGGGTGACGAAGGAGAAACCAAGAATGAACTGAAGGGACAGAAGGCACGATCTCAGTAATATAGTGTGACATCTAGTAAACAGCCCTGAACACCAAGTGCAATAACCACACTGTGTGTCAGGTCATGTATGTGGCTGAGCCTGTCCATTCTCTCCCCTTCAATAACTAATAGCTCAAGCACACCATACCATTCTTGAACCTATGCTTACCCATAATGGGATCGGACGAATTGCAGACCCACCACACACATAAATCTCACCGTAGTTCCACCCATACCCCCAAGATTTTCCAGCACCTCACAAACTGATCCCATAACCCCCAATAGGGCCCATTCGTACCCATCCAGTGGCCATGATGGGATCGCAGTGCCTGCAGACCCACCGCACCATGACTGTGCCGACGGCTGGTCAGCGGGGAGAGGCACAAAGGAGGTGTGATTCGAGTGAACAGAGTGATCGGAGTAGGTGGTGAGATGAATGGGAGGAGTGGGAGGAGTGAGAAGCGAGACCCACCGCATCATGGCTGTGCCGATGGCTGGTCCGAGGGGAAAGGCATGGAAGAGGTGTGTGTGACAGGAGGGATGAGAGGAGAGGAGTGGACGGAGTGAGATAAGTGAGAAGAGTGGGAGGAGCGAGAAGAGAGAGAGAGAGAGGATAGAGGGAGAGAGGAGTGAAGGGAGTGAGGAGTGAGTGGAATGAGAGGGATGAGGGAAGGGAGAAAATGACACTAATATGAGGAACCACTAGATTGAAAGGGGAATGGTGAGAAGCAGGTGCACAAAAAACAGGGCAAAACAGGTGCATCGAAAATGGGAAGAAGCATCAAATTTTGAAAAATGCGAAGCGGAGAAGACTAGTATTGAAGAAATAATTGGGAGGAAAATTACGTGAAGTGCCTAACAGAAACAGGAGAGTGGCAGAGGAGAAAAACGTTATGTAGAACAAACAGGCGTTCCTCGCATTGTACCAACAACATTTCTTGTCAGCCTTAAAAATTCTGGACCAGGCATTTTCCTCCTTCAAGCATTCAATTCCTCCTTACCCATGCTTTGAGCAGCAAGCAACATCCACCACTCCCCACTTTCCCACAGCTGCCAATCTCCCACACCCAGTGCTACTGCTGCTGGTGATGTCAGTGCAAGGGCCGCTGGTGCTACTGCTGTAGCCTCAGCTGCTGCTCCTGCTGCTGCTAAAGCGACAGTGGAATCAGTGAGGGAAGGGGTGATGTCTAAAAGAGAGAGTGGGCTGTCTAGAGGCAACGTGGCAAGCACTGATTGGGTTGAAGACGCAGAGAGAGAGGAAGCGAAGGAGAAAAGAGCATCCAGAGGGACCTGTGGAAGGGTGGTGAGGGGTAGTGAGGGGTAGTGCAGGGTAGTGCGGGGAGAAACATAGTGGTGTTGATGAGTAGGGAAACATAGTGGTGTTGATGAGTAGGGAAACATAGTGGTGTTGATGAGTAGGGAAACATAGTGGTGTTGATGAGTAGGGAAACATAGTGGTGTTGATGAGTAGGGAAACATAGTGGTGTTGATGAGTAGGGAAACATAGTGGTGTTGATGAGTAGGGAAACATAGTGGTGTTGATGAGTAGGGAAACATAGCATTTTTTGCACTGGACAACATATTTTGCACTGGACAACATATTTTGCACTGGACAAAGAGAGAATTTCAATTTGACAAAACAGAACTGAAGAATATACTCTTCGAAAAAGCTTCGACCCCATCAAGTTCTCAAGAAAAAACAGGTGGTTTGGGAGGGCATGGTAGGAAAAGAGAAAAGAAAGGAGAGGAGAGCGAAACACCACCCACCGGACCTCACTGCCCTCTCCCTTCTATTCTCACTGGACTCCTCACCTCACGCAGCAGCAAGGCTACAACGACTAGCACAATCCCCACTGACTAGAAAAAGGCCAAAAAGCTGTGTGATAGAGAACTTATGCTGAGTTGCGTTCTGCATAAAAATGCACACCTCTACATGTGTGTGTGTAAATGCTCACCTCAAGCAGCAGCAAGCCTACAACCCCCAACACAAGCCCCAATGCCCCTTTCTTGGAGATGGTCTCGCCGAATAGAAGGGCTGCAAGAACAGCCACTGTGAGTGGCTGAGAGTCAATGATGACCTGGCATACCGGAGGGGGTGGGAGGGGACAATGAGAAGCGAGTGAGGCGATTAGATAAGGGGGACATTTGAGTCGAGTCAAATGCCTTTCTGAACAGAATGGCTGCGAGCACAGCCACTGTGAGCGGCTGAGAGTCAATTATAACCTGCGAAACGGGGGATATAGCCCATGGAGGAATGGATTGGGAGTCAATTAGATGAGGTGTGACGTCTGAGTCGACTCAAAAGGGTTGCCGAAGAACACAGCCACTGTGAGTGGTTGAGAGTCAATGATGACTTGCGAGACGAGGGATAAGGCATGGAAAGAAGGGGAGGCGATCAGACAGATCTGAGAGGCTGAAAGTCCATGACGACCTTGCAGACGGGGATGAGGCTTGGAGGCACGGACTGAGAGAGGAGTTATTAAATGACTAGCAGGAATAATCTGAGTAAGAGTGATCTGAGAGGCTGAAAGTCCATGATGGTCTGGCAGACGAGCTATGAAGGTGTCAAAAGGCAGAGACAGCTTACAACACACACGCAAACCAACAAGCACAGAGGGCCATGACAAAGAGATGGGGCAAAGAAAGCTGACACGGTAGAGGTAAGGACATGGCATCATGACAAGGTGAAAGACCACAATGATGTCTTTTGAGGGAGATTGGGATGAATGGGAGGTGCGAATGCGAGGGAAGGGGAAGAAAAAGGGACAATGGTTAGAGATTGGAATGTGAGAATGTGGGAAGGAAAAAAATATGTTGCTTACTGATCCAAGGCCGGCTGATGTTCGCCTCAAGCCCTCTGTGAGACAGCCCTGTGCAGTGCACATTGAGGAAGTGGGGGGAGAAGGGAGGGTTGAGAGAGGAGAAAGGAACATTGCTTGCTGATCCAAGCCCTGGTGATGTTCGCCGCAGGCCCCCTGCGGCTAGCATCAAAGGCACCTGAAGGGAAGCTTTTGAGAATTCTCAACACCTCAGAGAACACTGCAAAGTAGAAGTCTTTTCTTCTGTTTCCGCACACCTGGAAAGCTGTGGCACCTACGAGGGCGAAGAGGAGGATGGAGAGCCACGCAAGGGCGGACTTGGGCATGGGACGGCCATGGCTGGCACTGGCAGCAAAGGCGACGAGGAGCAAAGCGCAAACTACAGACTTCAAAGCCTTTTATCTGCCCGCATACCTGGAAGGCCGTGGCATCCACGAGGGCGAAGAGGAGGATGGAGAACCAAGCAAGGGCGGACTTGGGCATGGGACGGCCTCGGCTGGCAGCGAAGGCGACAAGGAGCAGACCGGCCGGGATGAGGCGGACAGAGGCGACGAACATGGGACCTGCCTTTGGTAGCACATCCTGACGGGGGGAGAGGGGTGGGGGGAGAGGGGAGGTGATGAGGAGCAGACCGGCTGGGATGAGGCGGATAGAGGCAACAAACATGGGACCTGCCTTTGGTAGCACGTCCTGATGGGGTAGAGGGGAGGAGGTGAGGAGAGAGGCAAAGGCGAAGGGGGAGGAGGAAAGGGATAGACAACGAGGAGCAGATTGGCCAGGATGAGGTGGGCGGGCCTACATTTGGAAACACGTCCTGATCATTTTCAACGAACAATGCAGGCGATCCCAATTATCAACAATGAATGATATAATGATGGACAATGATCATCAATGGTCAGCAATGATGGCAGAAGAAGATTGGCCTACACAAGAAACAACCGCTGATTGCTTTGTTTCTACCTTCATTGCCACCATTGACGATCCCCAGAAGAAGAATGGCGATATAAGCAACATCGTCTCCAAAATCCCGTCAAAATTCAATGAAGAAAGCAAGGAGCCAGATTGTACGTCTCCTGCTGCCACTGCTACTGACTCCTCCTTCTCCTGCTCCTGCTGAATAGTCCTTCTCCGTTGCTGCTCCTCCTCTTCCTCCTTCTGCTGTTGATCCACCAATGGCTTTCCTGCAGGTTCCCATGTGTCCCTGTCTTCTGCGAGATTAGGAAGAAAACACTCCACATTGATCCCCGTTAACACGCAATCCAAGTCTGAAATGTCCAATTCCCGAGCCAATGATTCATTGGTTGACGCTCCAGAGTTAAGCTTGCTCGCTCCGTTTGAAGCAGCTCCATTAGTGACAGCTCCGTTAGAGACAGCTCCGTTTGAAGCCTCGTCTCGCCCAGGTTTGGAATCGCTCGCAGCGGTTTCTGCTCCTGAAGACGATTTCGACGCTGAAGCGATTGGTACATACGGTGATCTGACGCGACGCACGGGTCTATGATTGACGCGTGGAACGCGTGGAACGCGTTGAAACGACGGTTGTGGAGACCTGACGTGGAGCGAGCACTGGCGTGACACTGCTTGAAACCTGGAGCACGACCGTTGTGCAGGGGTACTCGAATCAGCGCTCAACCTTGAAACAGAGTGTCTAGCAGAGAAAAGGGTCAAAGACGCCATGCTTTGGAATTGGCTCACATGACCCCTGAAGGTGCTCGTCATTTGAGAAGGTGACGTAGCACCACGCATGCCTCAAAGAAGAACCAGCAGTTTTCAGGATGAAGCGATTGCAACGACAAGTAAAGAATTGCTGGGATGTACTTCTATGACAATGGAAGCTCCTTAGACAGCGCGCTTGCAAAGCTCAGCGCTTCACAGCAGGAAGGGGAATGACATAGTGATGTGATTCTTTACCAACGCAAATGACAGTAAATATCTTAGCTTGCTGCACTGTACGGGCTGCCTGACTCGTGGAGTGAATGCAAAAGAGTTGGAGTTCGCGGGCTTCCAGGTCGGGTCGGAACCGTTGGTGCACACGAGACGCTGCGCTATGGCAGGCGGACGAGAAACTTCTTACAAGACATTCGTTGGCTTGATCTGATTGGTTGTAAAATGAAGTCTACAGAAAAGAGTCACTTAATTTTACTGGCCTAAATCCTCTAAGGAATGGTGGGGTTGACTAAATTGAGGATAAAGCGCGGCGGAAGACTTTGGCGAAAGATGTGTTGGCGAAATAGGCGAAGAAGTAACTGAGTAATTGATGAATGAAAATCGGTTGATATGAGGGAAAACATGCAAGGTTGATATAGCATGCAAGAGCAATTGTGGGAAAGTGGGTTGTGGGACTAGGAACAAGAAGGCAAAGAAAGTAGAGTGCCACGTGGCACTAGGAAATCTAGGAAGATAAGTATAAGGGTGAGTTGCAAAATACTGTTCAAAGTGAACAGTAAATTCCCCCTTAACACTACCCCCCTCCCAAGGAGGCGACGTCCGCGGCGCCTGCAGACTGGAGGTACGCTTGGAGGCAAGCGTTGTCGGGAGACAGTGAGGACGAAGGAACCCAGCTGCTGTCTGCTGCGTCGTAACCACGCCAACGAACCAAGAACTCGATGAAAGAGACACCACTATGAAGACGGCGACGGTGCCTGAGGATGCGCTGGATCTGGTAGTCGGGCTCGTCGATGTCAAGAGCTACCGGCAGTGGAGTGCGATCACGGCCCGAGAAGGTGGCGTTGGGATCGGTGTAAGGACGAAGAAGCGACATGTGGAATGACGAGTGCATGCGAAAATGAGCGGGAAGGCGAAGGCGGTATGCGACTAGTCCTAATGCACGCTCAATGACGAATGGACCAATGAAGCGAGGGCGAAGCTTGCTGTCCTGTGGCAGTCGGAAGTTGCGGTTATCAAGAAGAACACGGTCGCCGACTGCGAACGACACCTCACGACGACTGCGGTTGGTTGTGCGTGCCATGCGTGCATTTGCGAGCTCAAGGTGCTTTCTCACGTGATCGTGAATGAAGGTGAGATGCCGGTGGAAATTGTCCGCACGAGGGACTGTGGGTGTGAGATCGACACGAGTGGAGACATTAGGGTGCTGACCGTACAGTGCAAAGAACGGTGACATGCCTGTAGACGAGTGGTGCATGTTGTTGTAGGCGAACTCGGCCATGCTCAGCTTCTTGTCCCATGTGGCTGCGTCGTGCATCGTGATGCTGCGAAGAATCTGCTCCAAGGTCTGGTTCACATGCTAGGTCTGTCAGTTTGTCTCTTGATGGTATGCAGATGACATGGCTAAGCGAGTCCCAAACAATGCGAAAAGCTGCTTCCAGAACTTCGAAGTGAAACGAGGGTCGCGGTCTGAGATGATGGAATCTGGAACCCCATGCAGTCGGACTACGTTATCTACGAACATCGTCGCGGCTTCCTCAGCTATGACCTTGCCGTGCGTGGGGATGAAGTGCGCTGCTCGAGAGAACTTATCCACTACCACGAAGATGGCGTCGTGACCCCTAACTGTACGCGGTAAAGCTATGATGAAATCCATGGTAGCTACCTGCCAAAGGCGGTCGGGCGGTGGAATCAGCTGCAAAAGTCCTGCCTTGCGCTGGCGAGAGGTTTTTGTACGCTGGAACGTGTCACACGAGCGAATGTAATCCTCTACGTCTGCTGCAAGCCCTGGCCAGTAGTACGTGCGACTAAGCGTCTTAACCGTCTTATCTGCTCCAAAGTGACCCGCGCTAACTAGATCGTGCGCCTCGGAAAGAAGAAGCTGTCGAAGTGGGCGGTAGGCGGGAACCCAAATTCGTGTGGTACCCTTCCGTATATAGGCACTACCCTGCACCTCTGCTCCTGCGGGCGGCTGCGGTGTGAAGTCGGGATCTATTGTGTAACCGTGCTCGAAGAGTGCTGTGAGAAGTGGATGGCCTGCAGTGACCGTGAGGCTAGCAAGCTGGCAACTAGGGCGAGTGAGCGGGTCTGCTGGGTTGCGAACACCTGGCTTGTACTCTATCCTGTAGTGGAAACTCCCCTCCATAAACTCCATCCATCTAGCCTGGCGACGACTCAGCTGCGGCTGCGACTTGAGGAAACGAAGCGAGCAATGGTCCGTGCGTATAACACTATGTGCCCCCTCTAGGTAGCACCTCCAAACCTTATACGCAGGGATGATCACGAGCGCCTCCTTATCGTGAATGGGATAGTTCAACTGCGTTCCCTAAGCTTATGCGACTCGCACGCGATCGGCTGTAACCCACGTCCCTGGTCCTGAAGAAGCACTGCTCCAATGGCTCGATCTGATGTGTCGGTCACTACAACGTACGGGCGAGTGGGATCTGGGTACGACAGTGTCGGTGAAGACACGAGCGATTGCTTCACCTGCTCGAACGCCTGCTGCTGCGCTGGACCCCAATTGAAATCTACGCCCTTCCGAAGTAGGTCAGTGAGTGGACTAGCTATCGATGCGTAACCCTGAACGAAATGACGATAGTAGTTCGCGAATCCAAGAAAGCTCTGCAACTCCTTGACTGAGGTCGGAGCTATCCAGTCCTGTACTGCTGCGATCTTCTTTGGGTCGGTCCTAATGCCACTAGCGGATACGACGTGACCTAGAAACTCGACCTCTGGAAGGAAGAACTCGCACTTAGACTGCTTCGCGTACAGCTTCTCCCTCCGCAAGACCTCCAAGACCTTCTGCAAGTGTTGCACGTGTTAAAATAATAAGAACGTAAGGGCCTAGGCTTAGGAGCCTAGGCCCAACTTAGGTATCGAGTGAGTTGGGCCCAAGGGGGAGAGTCGAGAAAGTTGTGAAAGGAGAAAAGGTGGGTTGCACTATAGGTTCAAAGAACATATAGTATAGGAAACAAAAGGGTGCACCACCTAACAAAATTTGCAATAACTACACTAACTACAGCTACAGGCAGTTACAAATATAAATAATATAAAGTCTGACACTCCCCCATAACTGCCTGCAGCAGAAGTTTGTGCAGAACACAACTTGCAGGGGTACACAAGCAACACAAGCAAGATAATAACCAAGCAACAGCAGGTACTGCAGGCGGGCAGACAATAACTGGTCACCCCCTCCATCACCTCACCCTCCTCCCTCCCCTCCCCCACACTGCTGCAGGAGCAGTAGAGAGGGGGGGAAGAGAGGAGAGGTGGAGGGACGGCTGCTGGTTGCCTCACACCCTTCACCCCGGCGCCTCTCCCCCTGCTCCCCCACACCCTCACACCCTCCCCCCCAGCGGCAGCTGCAGCAGTGGGAACAAAAGGAGGAGGAGGGGAAGGGAAGGGTACGACCCACACTCCAACACCCTCCACCCCCATACCCTCCTCCCCGCGGCTGCAGGGAGACAAAGGAGGAGGGGGGTGGGAAGGAAGAAAGCCGCAGAGCGGCGAAAAGGTGTCGGTGCAGTGGTGTCAGGGGCGGCTTCAGGGAATGCAGGTGCGGAGAGCACCGTCGCAGGCGCCAGGGGCGGGTCCGCGGCGGCTCAAGGGCACCGCCACGGGCGCCAGGGGCGGGTCCGCGATGGCGCAGGGCACCGCCGCGGGCGCCAGAGGCGGGTCCGCGGGCGCCAAGGGCACCGCCGCGGGCGCCAGGGGCGGGTCCGCGACGGCAAAGGGCACCGCCGCGGGCGCCAGAGGCGGGTCCGCGGGCGCCAAGAGCACCGCCGCGGGCGCCAGGGGCGGGTCCGCGACGGCAAGGGGCACCGCCGCGGGCGCCAGAGGCGGGTCCGCGGGCGCCAAGAGCACCGCCGCGGGCGCCGAAGGCGGGTCCGCGGGCGCCAAGAGCACCGCCGCGGGCGCCAAAGGGGGCGGGTCCGCGACGGGTAGAAAATAAAAACGTCACGCGCCCGTGGCGCGTGACCAGAAATTCAGCAGCGGAAGCTTTGGTCGGGCCCACAGGCCAGGACCAACCTGCTCTGATACCATGTTAAAATAATAAGAACGTAAGGGCCTAGGCTTAGGAGCCTAGGCCCAAC